CCGCAGAGGAGCTAGAGACAGCGTGTTTGGGACGGTCAAGAGAATTCAGGCAGAAGTTTCTGTCCCTTGTGGTGATTCTTCAGGAGAAGTACAATACCTCGTCTGTCTGGGAAGTTAGGAGGGAGGTTCTGGCCAAGACGACGAAGAAAGAGGCCCCTTCCAGGACTCAGCTCCCCAGAGCCAGGAGGAGAGGCCACACGGTGCTGCTGGTCACTCGGTCCACTAAGGACTCACAGCGCCGTGACCGTCTGTGGAGCCTGAGGAGAGTCCGTCACAAGAGCCCAGGACCCCTCCCGGTCTCTGTGAGGGGTGGGCTGTGGGCACATCCTTCCCACCACACTGACCACTGTCCTTCTCTCTGGCTATAGATGAAACCACTGGGCACTCAGGCTCCCCGGGCAGGTTTCTGATCCTTTGCTCTTCTGACAGCAAAATCCCTCTGATTGTCCCAATAATGACAATAATTCTATCTAACATGTATTGCTTTTCATGGAACAAAGAGTTTTCACGTACTGATTGACCTAATCCTCACAACCACCCTGTGGCATAGGTGCCATTATCACCCCATTTTATAAATGGCGAAACTGAGGATCTGAGAGGTTAGATTATTTGCCCCAAGTGTATTGAGCCATTCAGGACACAGACTGGATTCGAAAGCCCCCACATTCTGAAAAAATACAGCTCTTCTCTCAGAATGTTTGCAAGGCACGGAGGGCTGCGTCACACTGTGACTTGTATCCTGTTCATCCATGGTGGTTTGTGACCATTGTTCAAAAACGAATATAGAATAGAATCAAAAATGTTTGTGCCTTTACCACATATTTACAGTTATTTCCCTTATAAACTGGTGGTGATGGAAAACATTTCTTCATGTAGGTCAAGGTCCAAAAGTTGAGAACCCCTGGTCTAGACCACCCAAGCATGTCACAAATGGGTACATTAAGGTTTAGACAGTGAAGTGATTTCCCCCACGATTACAGCATGTTAACACTGAGCCAGCATGATGGCCAAGTTAGTCTGACTCCTTTCACATGCTCAGTTTAACTAACTACAAAGAAAAGCAAGAGAAAGCAGGAGTAGTAACACTAGGTGGTAGTACTACTACTACAGCAGCAGTGATAACCCTAGCTGCTGCTTCTGTCACGCACACGGCCTGCCAGACACATCTCTATGTGCCTTGGATAGATTTCGCTTATTTTACTTTCGTAACAACCAAAGAGGTGGGCACAGGTATTCCTCCATTTTCAGATGAGGAGACTCAGGTTCAGAAACGTCAAGGAACCTGACCAGCGCCACACAGCTGGTAACAGAGAAGGTGGACTGCAGCCCACACAGGCTGGCCTCAGACTCTGGCGATAACCGGTCACATGGGCCTGTCTTAATGTTCCTGCAGGGGCATATGCCAAGCACAGTGCAGATAGTATGGCATTTCCTCCAACATGTTTCATTATAACGCCACTTCCAAGAACCTTTCAATGGCTTAAGGGGGGACTCACTGCGCACTCTGGTATGTGTGTTACCATAATCAGTCACACACCTCCTTCTTCTACCAGCCACATGTCCTTGGCGGGGGTTCCACATGTCTCTTATCCACAAATAAGATCCACTCCCAGGCTGCCTGTCTCGACCATTCGTTCATCCAGCCACACCCATGTTCCGGAACATCATCATGTACGTGCAGGATTGAATAGAGTGGCCAGATTTTTTTTTTAAAGACAAAACTGTATATAATACCCTCCCTTGTGCCAAAAAAACAAGGATGTCTACAAGGTCGCATGAAATGCACCCAGATAAGAACAGAGGAGAACAAAATAAGGGAAGAACAAGTTAGAGGCACTGAATGGAGCTGGAATGAGGCTAACTCAAAAGCTTGTTCTGCCTATATGCTTGGGACGGGCGTGCCACGGATCTGTCTTCAGGTTTCCCTCTTAATTACCTTCAAATTCACACATCTTACAGCGGATGACAACAGACTCTCAGTTTGCATTAATTACCTCCTTGCAATGATTTTAATTACTTTCAGATTTGCAGTTTCTTCAAGTTAAATAAAAACCTAATTCTTCAAGAAAAGCGTATCTCCTGCTGAGATTTAGACAGAAAATAATTTCTCGATGTGTCCCCTTAGCTGACACTGTATAAAGGCTGAACAACGTTCTCCACAACACCCTTAGAATAAGCCCAGGTGGCATTTCACGGTGCTGTTTCCAACACCGCATCCATCCCAAGAAAGGCCAAGGGGTGGAGCCCTTAATTCCAGGGTGAAGACGGTGCATGCAACATGCACATGTTTGAACACACAGTTCTTTGGTTGCAGAGTCGGGGACAGAGCTGCTTGGAAGAGGCGATCAAAAAGAGGTGCTGGCTGTTGGTGGGAGTGCAAACTGGTCCAACCACTATGGAGAGCTGTGTGGAGATTTCTGGACCTACTAAACATAGAGCTTCCATAGGATCCAGCAATTCCACTCCTAGGTATTTACCCAAAGGACACAGAACCATCAATTCCAAAGAGCACCTGCACGCCTATGTTTATAGCAGCACTGTTTACAATAGCTAAGCTTTGGAATCAACCCAAATGCCCAAAAATAGATGACTGGATCAAGAAGATGTGGTCCATATACACCATGGAATATTACTCAGCATTCAAAAAAGATAAACACATGCAATTTGCAGCAACATGGATGGCGCTGGAAGGGATCATGCTCAGTGAAATAAGCCAGAAAGAAAAGAAAAATACCGGATGGTCTCACTCATAGCAGGAATCTAGAAAACTTAAATAAGGGACCAGGAAAATGAATAACTATAAGAAAGTGAAAATCAAAATCAACAAACAACTATGAACCAGAGACACTCTATGGGGGGGGGGCGGGGAGGGGAGGGATTGGGGTCAAAATAAGGGGGTTGCAATTGTATGGGGAATATAAAAATAAAATATATATATATATATAAAGAGGTGCTGGGCCTGGTTGCCACTTGGTGTTCAGTTGTCCCTGGCCGAGGCCTCCCAATCTTAGAAGGCCCATAAGGACTGGCTAAGGAAGGGTGGCTACATTGGCGTTAAATTGGGAGAACATGTTCCATCCTCTTTTCTCAAACTTCCAGGATGTCTTGGTAAATCCCACTCAAGCCCCAAGTCAGGAGGAAAGCTGTAGCTCACGCTGGACGGCACAACTTCCGAGAACGCCCTCTTCTGTGCACCGCAGAGATCTGTCTCTTGGCGAAGTCTACCCCCCATCCAGTTCTGCCCTCCAGGCCACACGCACATCTGGCCTTTCCCATATGGCAGCCCTCAGACACCTGGCAAGAGCATCCATTCCCTTCTCCGAGATGCAGTGACCCTCCACCCCAGACCTCTGGAGGCCTGGCCCAAGGTCCCCGCCAGTCTAGACCCCTCCCGTCACCCTAGTTCCTATTCAGTAGAGCCATTATAACACCACAGTCCAGCTTTCCTGCTGGGCTGAAACTCTTTCCAGACATTCTGGAAATTTGCTATGGTCCTGGCTGCCAAACCCACAAAATCTAGATCCCAATCTCTCCTCACTGAGTGGCCCAAGAACATGTTCAAACCATCCTCTGACTGGACACCACCCCTGGACCGCTCGGCCAAATCACGAGCAATCTGGTTGCCATTGGCTGCCCTCAGCTCAGTGGTTGGTGGGATAGACGTCACCCCCAGGGATGTCCTCTGCCCTGAGTGTAGACACCTGAGGGCACAGGTAGCCTTGATCACCCCATCCCATCATAGGACCCAAGTGGCGATTCTCGCTAAACAGAAAGTGAGTCAAGACCAGGGAGGGCCTGGACTTCTGCCCCAGCTTTTGTAGCCAAGGGCCATTTGCAAGGCCTCGACCTTCCCACTCCTGCCCAAGAGTTGACACAGGACCCGCCCTCAGCCCGCCAAGCCAGCTCTTCCTCTAGCAGCCTCGTTCCCACGACTCCCCTCTCCACGCAACACACAGCCTTCCACCTCTGGTCACTGGCATGGACACAGTGCCCATCACAGTCCTACCAGCATTCTGCCTTCAAATGCACTTTATCTGGGCCCCCACCTTGTCCCTAGACTTGGAGATCTTGAGGGAAGCCCCCATTTAGCTGTGTCCCCAATCCTTGCATGGAGCCTGATACAAAGTAGAAAGAGCAAGTCCTCACCAGAGGTCACTCACGGGTTCTTGGAAGGTGTAACTTCAAGCAGAACAGCATATAACAAAAGCTGGTCCTTGAATAATGTCATTTTAACCAGCATCTGCTGGGGTTGTTTTTTTCTTGTTGACATTATAACAAAAAGATGTGGAACGAGAGGACAGCATTCGAGGACTCCCTTCCTTATGCAAGATGGGGAGGTTGAAAGCAATGGATCCCTTGTCCTTACTGTGTCAAACCTCCCGTCTCCCATGAGAAAGGTGCTAATTGGGCAGCCCTCCCTCTGGGTGGGAGTCAGGAGACCCCAACCAGAAATGGTGACGCTCTGTCCCCCTGCGTCAGCATCTCCATCATGGTGGGATTACAGGTGCGGGACAAGGTGGTCTTCTCAACGGTGGGTTCCCCACTTGCTCCCTCCAGGAGTTCACGAGCTCTGCTTCTTCCTCCTAGAGGACATGCTCAGAGCCCAGCCCAGCTGCGGTGGGGCAAGCCCTTCTCACTCCCACCGCTTGCCAAAGGGCAGCAGGCTGCCCTGGACCCTGGCTAGCCCCCCAGCACAGTGCCTCCCGCAAACAGCACAGACCCGCAGTGGTGTCACGCGGCGAGGTGGGGCAAGCCACCGCGGCAGCCAGCTCTCCGTCCCCAGCCTCAGAGAATTCCCAGGCTCACGGAGGCCTTGCCGACTCCTCAGAATGAGCGAGGCTGCTCGGAGCCGAGCAGGCGGAAGGGCCAGCCAGCTCCCTCCCTCCCGGTGTCCCGGTGAGAAGGCGGTCGCGGCCAGGCTCGGCCTCCCGGTCCCGTCTGCTCTCACTTCCCACCTCCTTCCACCTCCTTAGAGGCCGGAGCCGGAGGGGGGCACTTACCTGCCAAGATGAAGATGCCCACGAGGATCAGGAAGACGAGCAGGTAGAGCCCGAGGACCGCGTGCTTCAGGGCCGACAGGGAGCCCAGCTGGGTGCAGCAGCCGCCCACCCTGCGTCTGTGGCACGGTCCTGGCAGGGCCAGAGGGAGGAAGAGATGCGTGAAAAGCCAGCTCGCTCCTGCCCTGCCCTGGGCTCAGCTCTCCCCGACGTGCGTGGATGAGGGCTGGAGCTAACCCCTGGCACGAGTGTGTGCCACGCTGTGAGGACGCATGCGCTTCTGGATCGTGGCCAGCTCAGCGCCCGGCCTCCTCCCACCTCGGGGTCTCCACACTCACACCTGAAGCTCCCTGGTCCAAAACCTACCTCCGGGCCACTGCGTGCGCAGAAGGCCTGCGAGGCCGGGCCTGCTCCTTTACAAAGCAGCATCATGTCACGTGACCCAGAGCGTTTGGGGAACATGAGAAACAGGGGTTCCAGGTGGCCAGGCCCACCACGGTGCAGCACGAGCAGGGGGGGCCTGGTGGGGAAGCCAGCTGCGCGGGCGTGCGTGGTCTCGAGAGGGGCCGGAGCACCGAGGGCCCGCGGATGCCAGATCCAAACTGTTCCCCAACAGCCAGAGAGATGACGAGACCTCCCTATCCGCAAGTGCTGACAACTAGCTAAACAGACAGACAGACAGAGGCGCACACACAGGCCACGAGGGAGTGTAAACAAAGCATACTTGCACGCGGACCTGCCCCCTGCCTGCCCCCTCCGGTTTCCATTTACAGGAAGGCTTCGTGATTTTGCCTTGTGATGTTACACAAGACCCCCCAGCTTCCAGCCAAAATGGAGCCTCGACTTATTGGTGCTCGCTGCCCCTCCTGGATGGATTAACCCGAGCCCTTCAGGCGCAGATGTTAGCAGCAAACCGTGCACTTTTCAGCGGGATCCATTCAAGGAGGCGCCTCAGAGGCCTGTGCGGAGCCCAGCAAACTCACTGCCGCCGCCCGCCATGTCCATGGGCAGAGGACAGGAAGGGACGCTTGCCGCCCTGACCCAGAGGGCAGGTAAGAGGGGAAGGGAGGCATTTTCCAAGTATGCGCCCCCCTTTTATGCCACTATACCCCGTCGGGTAACCGTGTCCCTCGTGGGAAAGGTGTGGGGCCAGAACAGGCTTGACAATGGCACCAACATCACTTGTGTTCAGAAATGTTCTGAAAGCTAGTGCAATATTTGCAATTCCTTGGTAACTGGGGTTACCAAGGGAGGCTACTGCTGACCTCCGTGACCTTCAGAAGGTTTGTTGCCATGAGAGAAACGGCGGTGACCAGGTTGGCCCCCAGCTCCCCCAGGGGTACTGGTAAGTGAGGAAGCTTTACCCATTTTATTGAAGATGCTGCTTAAACAGTTAAGAAGGACTATTACATAATATTTCCTTAGAACATTGGGTACAGTTTGGAGCAAATGTTCAAGAAATACAATTCAATTATCATTGTCATCAACGTTTAAATGTTAGCAAAACTGGAAGAGTTGACCCAACTTTCCACTGACATGCAGAGTACATCTTTCTAACTCACTCTAATCTTTTTCTAGAATTTTCTATCCCTTTCCGCACACTAGACTCTATAACCATTTTGCTCCTAAATACGTATGCTTCTCGTGTAAGCATTGCATCTTTTCCTTCTTTCTTTTATTTGTTCCTTGTGACCTTCCGGTAGAATTTATTAGGAAAGCGTCTGTTACCCTGGAGAGTCAGACGGTGGCAGAACATTGTAGAAGATACAAGTACTGGTCACCTTACTGTGATGGTTGTTCCGACTCCTCTCTGCACCCTGCGTCCTCTGCAGCCACATAGCTGAATAGGTAGGAGAAAGTCACACAGCCAGCAATACTGCTAACTGAATCTTGCCTTTGTCCTTTGCAAGCGTGTTGTTGCCTCCCTGCACTATGGCACCAGTGGCCATGACAGAGTTCTGGTTTTCCCATCAGAAGAGTCATTCCCTCCTCTGCACTTGAAACTTCTATTTCATAGCAAGCAGCCACTGGTTCCAAGTCCTTTGTTAACTAACACACGCAACGCTGACCTTCCTCTAGGAGAACGTAGCTGTTATAGCAAGACTTGATCACATTACAGTAACATCACGTAAGAATTAAACACAATCTATTTTAAATGACACATAATAGAGCCTCAATAGAACTTTGCCACAAATGGTTGGACGAGCAGGACCAGGCAAGATGGTTAGAGAATAGGATTGTTGTTTTTTTTTTTTTTTCCCAATGGAAAGGGACTTTAATACAATTAGTGAGCAACACAGAAAAGGGAAAGATTATAGGTTCCAAATCAAGCACCCAAATGACCCATCCCCTTGTGGATAAATGCCCAAACAGGGTTGGCCCAAAGCAGGGCCAGTTAGAAAACAGGATTGTAAAAAGATGATTTAGGCAAAAGGCAAGTGACTAAGCCTGCCCAAAACTCACGTATTGACTTTTTCTTAACTTGGCAGGAGGATGTTAGCTGGGTCGATCATTCAGATTATTGATTGAAATTATTGATTAAAAACATTCCAAAACCTTACAATCAACAAAGCCAGGCCAAAAAATAGCTTATTTTGGGGGAAAGAAAACAATAAATAAAAGAATTATCAAGTCTTGGAAAGATATGGAGGAAGACTGGATGCTTACTGCTAAGTGAAAGAGCAATCTCAAAGGCGACCTACTGTACGAGTCCAACCACATGACAGTTCTTGAAAATGCAAAATTATGAAAATGATAAAAAGATCACTCAAGAAATACTGGCTAAATGAGAGATGAAGATTTGGCCCTTCAGATGCTCACACCTGAGGGGAAGAAGATGTGAACAGGTAACATGATACAGGTGTGAGGGTGTAGGCGTGGCATCAGAGGGGCCGAGTCCTTCTCTGCCAGGGGCAGTCCCAGGCTCTGCCTGGAGGAGGTAGCGACCCAGTAGGGCTTTGAAGGGCAGGTCTTCCTAGACAGGCTGAAACCTGTTATCTCTCTCTTCAGTTTTATGGCTGATTGACAGCTCTTGAAAACTGGGACTTTAAGAAGACAATGTTTTCTCTCCGTGATCTGAAGACAGTACCAGACAGAGCTGTCAGTTATTAAACATAATTGCTCTGTGCAGAGATGGTCACACACAGGACCCCACTATGCCAGGAGAAATGGCACAAAACAAACCAAAAAAGTCCTCCAAGATCTAGGAGAACCAAGATCACAGTTTCTCCGTCTTGTCATAACCTGCAGAAACGAGGGTGGCATCTTGGGAGATGAGGAAGCCGAGAGAAGGAGGCTTGTGGGACTGGAGAGGGTCAGACCCAAGGCTCCCAGGGAGCAGAGATGCCGAAACATATGCAACATGACTTGAGGAACAAGCCCCCAAAGCCAGCCTTTGAGACTGTCAGCGTGGGGTGTGGCTGCCGAGGGTGGGCTAGGAGCAGTCAGACAGGCGGTCCCTCCCCTAGACAGGCCCGTCCACCGGCAGCCCGCAAGGACCCCACCTGCAGAGCAGGGCCCAGGCTGCCCGACCGCAGCCACACTGTTGGCGGCTGCTTGGCACCTGCCACACCCTCTGGCATCCTCTGGATGGAGGTCAGACTCTAGGCCAGGGGCCCCAGGAGGTTGCAGGTGGTGGGGGGCTATTCTCTTACCTGAAGTCCCCCAAGAGGTTCCTACTCCAGGCTTCCCTCCAGAGCCATTTAAAACCCTGTCCTTTGCTCTTGTCCAAACCCATCTGGCTTCCCACCGACGGCACCTCCTAGGATAATTCCTTCCATCTGTCCCCTGCATTTCAGCCATCAGTTCCCACGGCCCCACCCTAGCTTCGTCACTGAACAAGCGACTCCACCTCTGAAAGCTCCAACTCTGGGAACCCGCTCTCAGGCCTGGCGCCCACCAGCCGGCTCCGGGTTGTGCAGCGACTCCCGGGTCAGAACAGGGAAGGGTGCTGGGCTCCAGGGACCTGCAGATGCAGGTCAGTCCAGGCCCTGCCTCTGACTTGACTTCGTGACTTCACCAGATGCTTCGCCTCCCTCATTGACAAGCTGGGCATGATAATATATGTCCATGTGTCCTGCTGACCCCTCCATCTTGGACTTCCAGCCTCTAGACCATGAGAAGTAAGGGTCTGTCCATCTGGTGTTGGGTGGGCAGCCCTAGCTGACAGACACCCGGTCACCGCTGACCGCCAGTGGCTTATCCCAGGGACCAGCCTGTGGGCTTTCCCCACCTTGACCTTTCGGCAGCACCGCTGCGGCCGGTCACCGCTTCCTCCGCCATGTGCCGCCAGAGCACGACACCAGACAGCAGCGAGCGCAACAGTGCCAGGAGGCGGTGCCGGACACCCAGAGGCTGCAGTCAGCTCTTCGAGACACTGGGCCGAGCTCCCCGGTGCCCCCCACAGGCGAGGTCCAACAGGCAGGGCTGGAGGCAGGCCCGAGGCTGCGTCTGTGCAGGTCTAGAGGCGCGCAGGAAGTCTGCAGACGGCTGTGAAGGTGAAAGCCCACAGAGGCCTACAAAGGTCCGGTGAATCCCTCACAGGTTGCCCACGAGATGTGTCTCTCTCTGGAGGCTGGGAGAAACGTCCTTCCTCTTTGAAGGCTAGTGCTGACTTTGAAGGTCGTCCAGCAAATCCTCCTTTTTCTCAGGAGGCCGGCTGCACACTGCCTCAAGCTGGCTCTTGCTCTGCCTTTAAGGCTCCTATCCCATAAGCCTGACGGGACCACTGTCAATCCTAAGTATCTAATTGGACTGTTTAGCACCAATCAGTTCATTTTCTGTTTTTCAATACAAATAATTAACTAACAAAGTGAGTTTGAACCTGATTGATCCATTTAACTCGTACCTGATTGGTCTATTTTAGCATCCTAGAGCCAGATCTAAAAGGGGGGACAGGCCAGCCCATCTGCACTCAGGCCAGGGCAGGCTGGCAGGCCTGTTGTCTCCAGGGACCCATGGCTGGGGCTGGTTCCTTGGGCCTGGAGAAGAAAGCAGCTGGGGTGTTGGGTAGAGAGCACCCAGGTGACCACAGAGATGGGGGGTTCACACTGCAGCCTTCCTATGTGTGTCCCCACCTCCTGAAGGGTAACTCCCTGGGGCCCAGCCCTGGGAGGCAGCCGTCCAGGCGAATGGAGTGAGTGGGACGAGGGGAAAATGGGAGAACCCCGCACGGAGCCCAGGGTCACCCGGCAGTCACCCCACTGCGCCCCGTGGATCCACACTCACGCCTGCTGAGCTTCAACAAGCAGGCTTTCGTCACCGGCCCAGGCGGGTCCCCATCTTCTGGAGGGACCCAGGGTCCAGCCTGGCCACAGCACCCCCGACCCAGGACTGCTGATTTATACAGCAGGTCTTCACGCTCTGCTCTGCCTTAGTGGAGAGCTCATCCCCCTACTCTCCGGCTCTGCTCCAGAGTCTGACTCCCCAGAAGAGGGTGGAGACCCTGTGAGGCCCAGCCAGACCCGCCCGGGAAGCCCACTGCTGCCCTTGGGTGGCTGCCTGGCCTCCACCGCGCCGGAGGAACTGGGAGACTGACTGGTGAGAAGCTAGACACGGGGCTCCCCTAGAGGAATAATTTAATTTTATGAGGACGGAAGGTCAGAATGGGGGGCTTGGGCCGACAGGCAGCCCATGGCCGGCAGCATGTGGGACACATTACCTCCCAGCTGTGAGGGGTGATGCCGGGCTAGGGAGGGGTGGAGGGCCGGGGCGGCGGAGCAGGGCTGCAATATTTTTCTGACACTAACACCTCTTCCTGGCCCTTGGAAAAGCCGCCGAGGGACCAGGCCGGCCCAACACCCCCCACACCCTCCACTGCCTCCTCCACATCCTGGCGCCAGAGGAGAGGCCCAGAGCCGCTCAGGCCGGAGGCAGGACCAGGAAGACGAGCGCCAAGGAGGGAGGAAGAGAAGCAGGGGGAGAGGGAAGGGATGCTGGGGGAGGGGCGCAGAGGAGAGGCAAGGATGGGCCGGGACAGGCAAGGATGGGCCGGGCCGGGCCTGCTGGCCCGTTTGGGTTTCTCTTCAAAGGGAGTGGGCAGTGCGGTCAGAGGAGGCGACAGCACCTCGAGGCCACTTTCTGCCGTCAGCCCTTCCACGGGCTCTGCCGCACAGGTGGGCCCAGGCCAGGGTGCGACGAAGACATGGACGCTCAGAGCTCCCTGTCCCTGGGGACGGCCCATCAATGGATGGGCCTGGACAAGGGGACAAGGAAAGAAGTGGGGTCCTGAGAGGTGGACCAGATCAGAGGTGCCCTGGAGGGAGCGGTGCCCAGAGGCTAAGGTGGACCAGGCAGGAGCTGGGCGAGGCCATGCTGGAAGGGACAGGAAGCCAGCCACCTACCCAGCCACCCCTTTCTCTCTACCTGGCAGGTGAGGGGGGTGGGGGCACAGGCAGCGGGGAGGGCGGTGGCGGGAGGAGGGGGTGGGAGGGGGGAGAGGCCGTCATTCCATGAGGTTGTTGCCTGAGTTCACCCCCAGCAGCCTGCGGACCCTGAGCTACAGCCTGAGTCCTACTGAACATCCGGCCACGTTTCTTCACCCCGGCTCCCCTGGTCTCCAGGCCCCAGGCCAAGAAGAGGCGCCTGCCCGCCTCCCACCAGCCTACCTTCCAGGGGGCTTGGAGCCCCCCAGGCAAGATCAGCAAACCGGTTCTCGGTTCTCGGACTCGGGCCCTCCCTGTCCTGCCCCACCCTCCTCTGCTTCCACCAACCTTCCTCTCCCTCCACCTGTCCCTCTCGTTACACTCCTCAGAGGCCAGGACCAAAGGAGAAGCAAAATCTTGGCAAAACAGATCAAATTTGGCTTGGCTTTGCCCAAGTCAGAGCTCACCGCTTTCCTCTTCCAAATGAAAGGGAAGGAAAACAATCCACCGGGAAGCCCACAGGCTCCAGGAGGCTGTTCTCATCCCGACGCCAACCTCCCTGCTCCTACCCCACCTGCACCTGGCGTCCAGGGGTGAAGGGGCGGGAGGCCCAGACAACTTGGAATCCAGGTTTAGAACGTATTTGTCTTGCCAACATCTATGCCAAGGACACATTCACTGATTCAGGTGTTCACTCATTCAGCAGATGCTTTGTGAGCACCTACTACGTGCCGGGGGTGGGAGATGTGGGCAAACAAAGCAGAGATTCCGGCTTCTCGGCGTGTGACTACAGCTGTCTCTACCCCGTTGTCCTCAGGTCTCTGCGAGACCCTTGTGTGAGCTCCGATCGACTCCTCTTTGAGGTAGGAACAACCCTCTTCTCTCTCACACTCACTGCACAAAGGGGTGCAGCGAGCATCTACTGAGCCCCTGCTGGGTAGGGCAGGCTGTTGGCGAGGTGCTCTGAGCTCCTTTGGAGAGGCTGCACCTGTTAAGTCCCCAAAGGTTTAGCGGAGAGCCAAAGACGCGGTGCCCTCTGGGTCTGGGGTGGGGAACTCCTTCCTGGGGTGTGAGCTGGGGCCTAAGACCCCGGGGGAGGATGTGTGCCTGGAGAGGTGTGTTCAATTCCCGCAGACCCATCAGGGAATGAACTCGGGAGCCTCGCAGAGCGGCTCTGAGCGGATTGGTCCAGGTGCCTTTGCCTCAGCCTCACACAAAGGACAGGGGGACAGAGAGGCAGGAGAGCCGTCCTCGGGTTCAGGGGTCCCCTGATGCCTTTGCAGCCCCCCAGCTCGTCTGCACAAGTGCAGGTTTTGTTGAGATGCGTGAACGTGAAAACACATTGAAAGGACCTTTCGGAGCATGAAGGTCAACGCACAGGATTCCAGTGCCGAGGTGGGGGTGTGGCCTGGACGGCGCTGGCACCCAAGCACGAGCCCCGAACTCACCGTCATCACACAGGTTCAGCTTGGACAGGCTCCTGCCGTCGAAGGGCTCCTCGAAGATGGAGCTGGAGTCGCGGTCGCTCACAGCGTGCAAGTACATGGCTTTGTTGTCCATCCCACCTGCAGCGGGGAGAGGAAGGACAGTGTGGGTGGGCGCAGGAACCATCAGTAGAACACGGCCCCCACAGCCGAGCCCCTGAGCCCCAACCCAGACCCTCTCACTGGCAGTGCCCAGTCCTCAGGCCCCGACCCCGTCCCAGTCCTCGGTGCCTGGGAAGGCCTTAGGGCCTGCCGTGGGCCCCGCGCCTTCCCTTCAGCAGCTCCAGGTAGGGCTGGAGCCCAGTGATGGCACCTCCTCCTGACTCAGCAGAGGGGGTTCTGCGCCCCGGAGCCCTGGGCACCTCAGAGAGACCTGGGTAGAGACAGCTTCTGTGCTGCGTGGCAGTAAGGAAACTGGGCACTACGTGGGCCTGGGGCCAGCACAGCTGAGGGCACAGCTCCTCCCAACCCGCCCCAGCAGCCGTGGCCGAAGGAGCTGGTCAGCAGAACCACAGCAGGACCTGCGGTGGGGTCCTCCAGACACCAAGATCCAGGCAGCCTCAGGCCGGGGTGGGGCGGGGGGCCGTGCTGGATGGGCTGCTGAGGCTCAGGTTGGGGTTTCCAGTCTTCCTGGCACCTATTTAGACTTGGGACACGAGCCGTCCTGTGTGCACCTGTGTGTGCTATGCTGTCCGGTTTGTGACACGTGCACATGCCCCACGGATGTGACGCGTGATGGAAAGACACGCCCATCACGGGGGCTGCCTGGCTGGGGGGTCGTGCTTGCTATACTTTCTGGGCTCGCCATGAGGCACCTGCACTCTCCATATCACACAGAATATCCATTTCCCAGGCGGGCTGCAGAGAGCTGGCTGACACCAGGCACCAGGGATCTTCCTCACGTGTGCGCTCAGTGGTCTCGCAAGTCCCTCTCCTTCCAGAGCGCCTCCGGCCACAGTGTCACTTGACTTCTGCTTCTGACCTTTGACCTTCTGGACACTGAACCGCCCATCCCCCAAATTCACTCTTAAAAAAGTGGATTCTGTGCAAGACAAAAGGCCCAGGGAGGGGGGACGGGAGACAGACCCAGGGGCCACTACCGGGCAGGAGGACAGGCCACTGGCTAGAGGGGCAGCGGGCAGTGCCCCCACACGGGTGGGAGGTGAGGCGCTGGCACTGTTCCCGCAAACAGTCGGGAAGGAGGGGCTGGCGGCTGGCTCGGCAGGCAGACCGGAGACAAACCCCTATTTTCACGACTTGATACTGGCCTGCAGAGACCTCGGGCTCAGGCTGAGAGAGGCCGCAGCTGGCCTGTTGCTGTGTAGCTGGCTTCCGATGGCCAGCGGGCCGGGCCAGGCTTCTGCTCCTCTCTCTCCAGTGCTGAGATGCCACACCCCCGTCCATGTGTGCACGC